AATCAGCCTTCCAAACAAGCAACTTGGCAACTAATACTGTTTTTTTGAATTGAATTGAATTTCACATACTCGCTGGGTTTAAATTTAGCTCATTTTCTAGTCAGCAAAATTAAAACCCAGTGAATAATTAACCCTTTTTACATTTTTTGTCTGCTAATTGAGATGTACAACATGAAAACAATGTGATTCACAATATCAAAGTTTATAATACTCACAGAGAATACATTTGATTTTAAATCCGATTTTTTGAGATACCAAAAATTGCCTAAAAATTTAATAATCAATATGCATGTTTTTCATTATGGAACTAATGTCTCAATTACTCCAGAGCATCTATGAACCAAATTTCAATGAAATATGATTATTCACATTGTGCAAATTAAGCAATTAGTATGCTTAAATTTCAACCCGAAACTAATGCATTGTTCCCAGGCACTTATATAACAAGTCTTATTGAAATGCAATAATTGATGTATAATTATGCAAATTAAGCAATTATTATGCATAATTTCAACCCCAAACTAATTAGGTCTGTGTATTGTTCCAGGGCACATTTGTTTCATTATAAGGTGATGATTAATTCTTGAAAAATCAATGGAAAGCCGAAAAGTACATCAATCATGCGCCAAGCTAACTGTACACTGTCTTCACACTCGTCCCATTGTGTGTTTTGCACGTGGGAGTCAACAATACAATATTATATCTAATCAAAATGGGCAGGGTAAAAAACTAAGATTCAATCCGAATCTCTTGGCATATTGTATATTTCAGCTTTGCAGCAGCGTGACAATATACTAAACAACTAACACCACGCTTTGAATAGTCAAATAGCCGCCGTGCAATGTCCCTTGGAAAACGTAACAATAGAACAACAATTATGCAAATACTAACAGCGCCCCCAGAAGTTGTCATTTTGAAATGTGCAAAAGATTTAGTTTTAGCTGTTCGCTGTAGAGAAGTCATCGGGGTTTTTGAGTGTTTGCTGTTAGAAATCGATGTAACAATATAATATATCTAGTGTTCCAGTTGCAGAGGACTATTTCCGAACGTTTGTCGGCAGGCGAGTGTTGCATATTTTGTTTAGTTACATTTGAACTTCGTGCACTAATGCTCTGTATACAAAGACATTGATAAAAACAATAGTGATTGGATAGAGTAAATATATGGGTATGGGTTTTGGCAAAACAGTTATGTTTTGTGATAACGCAACCAATTCCAATGTAGTGAACATAAAACAACTCTGAATAAATCAACAAACTATAGACCAGCAGTAAAGTTTAATTTACTCAATCTTTTACAATTCTATAAAAGTTGCTTAGAACTGTCTTGAAAAAAAAATGAACTCAGCGATTCAATATTTCAAATAGTATCACAAGATATTGAGAACATGCCCTCAAACCATGAGGTGATGTAAAAAATGGCTATTTATTGTATTCTGGTCACCCATCAATCTAAAATGATGAATTGGCTGTAAAACAAAATCCATATACCATCATCATACTTTCAACTGTCTATCATTTACATGTAACAGTCGTACTCATCGATTGAGGGCAGGACATATTTGATAATCATAGCATAACAGATCATTTTACTGAGAAACAATATTGCATTAACATTATACAAAGTTTGATATGCAGATACAAGGTTATAAGTCTTAAAGTTTTAATGTACATACATTCAATTTGGTAAAAAAAGTAAAAAAACAGCAATTTGCTGTTCAGGGTATAAACCCCATATATATATATATATAAAAAAAACTGATTGTCTGCTACTCTTTACTACTCCTTTAGTTTATCTGAAAGTGTACATGATTCTTTGCTACCATAATCAGATATGGTAAGTAAGCATGTCATTAGCTATAGACTAAAACTTTAAAGCGCGGTAGTCATCGTGCTGTGCATGTGCGACATTTGTGTTGATAAATATTTATTTTCCCACAATCCAATACGCTCTTCAAATGGAAATCACAAGTATGAAATTTGACCTTGGCGCGACTTGCACTGATTACCGCCGGCGACTCCTTCGATACCTTCCAATCACATGAAAATTACTTAATTAAAGCTTGG